CCTCACCGCACCCTCAAGGCAGGGCCGATGCTCTCCACGTGCAGGTGAGGAAAGGGAGGCAGCAGCGCAACCGACGTGCTTGCCCAAGGACCAGGCAGAGAGGAAGAGGCAGGGCCAGGCCTTGGACCAGGCAAGGACCCAGGGAGGTTGGCAATGGCTCAGTGACAGGAGTGGAGAAGATGACTTCCTGCTCTGGTTGGATGTAGGATGTCAGCGGTAGAGGTACAGACCTCCACAGTAAGGATCCCATTCCAGCATCTCAGGGGACCTCAGAGGACTCAGAGGCTCTGGAAGCACAGTTTCAAACCTCCAGGACAGATAGAAGGAGAGACAAGCATCCCAGGGAGATTCCCCTTACATCAAGGAGGACACAGATGAAGGGCAGCAAAGCTGCGTTGTGATGCTGAGGGCCTGGGGGTCTAATAGTCGAAGAGCGTGCTGAGAAACAGCTACGGGGAGACAGAGAAGGGAGCCCACTCCATGAGCTCACCAAGGCTCAGACTAAGCGCAGAGAAGAGTCCGAGCGTCACACGGGACCTCTGGCGTGGCCCAGTGAGGCAGGACGGATGCCCAGAGCCCCCTTCGTCCTGGAGCACTGGGGGACAGGCCTCCAGAGATGGGTTCTCAGGGAGCGGGGTGGGCAGGATGGGTTCTCAGGGAGCGGGGTGGGCAGGATGGGCGCAGGAGGAGAGTATGTGGGAAAGCCCTCCTCCGGGAGCGGTGACTGGCGTTGGGTTCTCCTTTGGGACCAGATGCCTGAGAAGGGGTAGGAGAGCTGTCCCGGGGATAGTGATTAGGACGATCTCCCTGGGAAGGAAGTTGCTATCGGGAGCTGAAGGGAAGCAGCCAGGATGCAGGAAGGGGTCAGGTTGAGGAGGGACGTGAAGCTGGACCAAGGCTCTGAGCTCGACCGTTTAAAGAGGTTGAGATGGACCTGCTTCTGGTGACAATGGATGGAGGACTTACATTAGGAAATGCTGGGAATAGGGGTGCTGGCCAGGAAGGTACTCAGAGAGCATGGGGGAGAGGAAGGTTATGTGAGTCTGATGAAACGGGGATGTAGGGACAGAGGGAAGAAACAGGAGAGTGAGCGGGCCAGGAAAGAGAGGGAGGCTCGTCCAAATCCTGGTTACTGTCAGCTTCCCACACAGACTGCCCAGCTGCTGTGAGCCACAGCTTCCTCATCTTTAAATTATGAGATCCTCCCGCTCCTCCCCATCCTCCTCCTCCCCATCCCACTCCTCCCCATGTTCTTCCTCCTGCTCCTCCTCCTGCCATGCAGAAGTGTGTGTGTGTCAAGGACTTTATGAGAAGCTCTAGGTAAAGGGCCCAGGAAAATAGCTGGCACATAGCTCTGAATGAAAGCACAGAGATGACCACTGGTGTCCATATCCAGGAGGCCTCATTGTGACCAGTGACTCACTGGCTGCAGGGTTGAAAGAAGGGGTCACACAGGGTGCATTGAAGCCATGTGTATAGGAACCAAGGATGGGACAGTTCCTGGGCAAGGGGGCGGGGGGTGGTCCCCCCACCTCACCCAGCGCTAGGTGATGTTGACTACAAATTGCCAACCACTGAACAACAAAGGCATTTGCCGTCTGCCTCTGCAGAGATTGAACCCCATGCTCCTATAGCTGTTGACTTTCAGCAGCCCCTGAGGAAGTTCAGGATGAACTGAGGCACTGTGTGCTCCAGGGAACCTGGTGGGACGGGTCTTTAGACAGTTGGATGTTTTTCGGAACAGATCTTATGATCTCCATCCTTGCATCTCCGCATACCTAGAGAAGCGCTAAATCCCTTCGTGGTGACATCAGATCCTTGGGATTGGCAGAAAACCTTTTCTAATGAGTACTTACTGAACTCCACCTTCACCAAAACCTTCTATACTGACTTTCCTTGCACTGCCTCTTGGGAGCAGTCTCTCAGAGCTATCTGAGGTGCCACTTCCCGAGCTACAGTCCTCATTTTGCCCCAAATAAAACTTAACTCACAAGTCTCCAGTTGTGCATCTTTTTAGTGGACGCTGAGTGGGGGCGTGTGACTCCCTGCCACTGTCTGAAAGAGGGAGAGTGTCTATGGGCACCAGCATAAGCTCCAGCCTGCCCCCTTGATCTCCCAAATGTCCAGCTCTCCCCGTCTGTTCGGATGGTTCTCTAATGGAAAGAAGCCGGAGAGCTGGTTCACATGCCTCACGTCCATAGCTGCCCCTCCAGAGAGCTGTTCTGAGCGGGGTTTCTTACTCAGGTTTCCAAACATGAACAAGCAAGTTACAAGCAAGAGCCCTCCGGCTGAGGCCGTTTACTTTTCCTTGCACTGCCTCTTGGGAGCAGTCTCTCAGAGCTATCTGAGGTGCCACTTCCCGAGCTACAGTCCTCATTTTGCCCCAAATAAAACTTAACTCACAAGTCTCAAGTTGTGCATCTTTTTAGTGGACGCTGAGTGGGGGCATGTGACTCCCTGCCACTGTCTGAAAGAGGGAGAGTGTGTATGGGCACCAGCATAAGCTCCAGCCTGCCCACTTGATCTCCCAAATGTCCAGCTTTCCCCGTCTGTTCGGATGGTTCTCTAATGGAAAGAAGCCGGAGAGCTGGTTCACATGCCTCACGTCCATAGCTGCCCCTCCAGAGAGCTGTTCTGAGCGGGGTTTCTTACTCAGGTTTCCAAACATGAACAAGCAAGTTACAAGCAAGAGCCCTCCGGCTGAGGCCGTTTACTCGGAGACCCTGGCCTCAGGGAAGGTGGGTCCTGGCCCAGGAATGAGGAGCTGAGAGGCTGCAGGCACGCTCGGGTCTATGGTGCTTCCTAGCTGTACTCAGATGTGGCTGAGGTCAAGGCAAAGAAAAGCATCAGAAAGGGCACTGGCGTCTTAAGATGCCACATGGCTGAAATGGGAAGTGGAAAAGCTACATCTGTTGGCTTCTTTGGCTATGTGGAATCACCACTTGCATTGTTTCCATTAAAAAAAATCTTACAAATGTTGTATTCAGCAAGACCATTTACATATTTAGGTTTAAACTGGGATTAATATGAATTGTTGCACGTCCATCTGTTTCCCTTTCTGTTTGATCCTTAGACATTCTAATGTAATCAACATTTGTTTTTGGAGTTGATGTTGAAGTTGAGGATGGAGGGGAGAAAAAAGAATACTTTAAAATGAACGTGGGCCGGGTTAGTGCTGATTTGATCCTGACAAAGGAGGAAGAGGGAACACAAGTCCTGGGTCTGCACTGAAGCCTGCAGAGCTGAAACGGACACTTCTGCTCCTGGGGCTCGGACCGCCTGCCATCAGCATGTCTACGCCTCCTCCGTGTCTGTCCGTGTCTGTGCGTCACGCTCTTGATGTCTCATGTTTTCCCTCCACCCCGTATTCAGAAATATTTGAGAAGAGTCAACAGATGTGGTTCTATCTCTGTGTCTCTTTGTTATTCAAATTAGGGAGGAAAGCAGAATTTTAGGGAAATGGTTTTAATTAGCAAATGAAATAACAACGTCTTCCACTCTCAGACCAGTAGATCTGAAATTGATTTGCAAATAGGAGTTTTGTTAATCCTTTCAATGTTTCCTAAGATATGGTTGTGGAAAATCTTATTCTGCTTTTAAGCGGAGAAGCTAGGCTCTGTGAGAAGCAAGTGGCCATATATTAAAGAGGACCCTTTGAGAGGCAACCGCTTTAAACTCCTTGTAAACATCATTCGAAATGAAAACCAGAACGAGGCTGTGTCTTCATGAATCACTCACACCCAGATGTGGCAGAGTTAAGTGGAGAACTTTCTTGTTCTGATTTCCAGATGACTTTAAAAAAAAACACAACTTTTTTTTTTTTAATCATTGGACTGTATCATATCAGCCTTAGGAGATGGTGAAAACTTCCTGCTACATGGTGGGGTGGGGGGACTGTCAGAATGAAACAGGCCATCTTTCCTGCCTGGGGGCCTTTTCTATTGTTCTTGGAAGGGGTCTGGAACAAACTAAACCAGAAACATGAAATTCCAGAGAAAACAGGACTATCTGAGGAGGGCCTTCAGAACTGGCCTTCTGGCTCCAGAGGTCAAGTCTTTCCTTTGGTATGATTGGGTCTTAGAGTAAGGTGGATGGTTGCCCCCAAAAAGTATATCCATGCTCTAAACTCTGGAACCTGTGAACACAATCTTATTTGGAACGGGGGACTATGCAGATTAAGACAAAGATTTCAAGATGAGACCACCCTTGATTATTCAGTTCAGTTCAGTCACTCAGTCGTGTCGACTCTTTGCAACCCCATGGACTGCAGCATGCCAGGCTTCCCTGTACTTCACTATCTCCTGGAGCTTGCTCAAACTCATATCCATTGAGTCGGTGATGCCATCCAACCATCTCATAGTCTGCTGTCCCCTTCTTCTCCTGCCTTCAATCTTTCCCAGTGTTAGGGTCTTTTCCAACGAGTCAGCTCTTTGTATCAGGTGGCCAAAGTATTAGAGTTTCAGCTTCAGCATCAGTCCTTCCAACGAATATTCTGGGCTGATTTCCTTTAGGATGGACTAGTTTGGTCTCCTTGCTGCTCAAGGGACTCTCAAGAGTCTTCTCCAACATGGACCCTAAAGTGTCCTTATAAGAAACAGAAGAGGAGAGACACAGAGAGAAGAGAAGTCCATGTGAAGACAGAAGAAGAGATAGGAGCAATGCAGCCATGAAAAGAGGCACTTGGAGCCTCTGGAAGTCGGAAGAGGCAGGAAGAATCCTTCTCTGGAGCCTCAGGGGGCATGGCCCTCCTGACACCTAGGCCCTGGAGTTCTGGTGCCTAGAACTGTGAGTGAATGCATTCCTTTGGGATCACCTCATTCCTCGTATCTACCTCAAACCCTTCAGGGTATGCTGAAGGTCAGAGACTGTGGTGGCCAGTGACTCAGTCCTTGTGGAGGCAGATCACTCTTGTTGTTGCTGTTTAGTCACTAAGGCATGTCCACTCTTTGTGACCTCACGTCTGTGAGGTCTCCTCTGTCCATGGGTTTCCCAGGCAAGAATACTGGAGGGGGTAGCCATTCCCTTCTCCTGGGGATTTCCCCGACCCTGGAATCAGACCCGCATCTCCTGGGTCTCCCGCACTGCAGACAGATTCTTTACCGCTGAGCCACTCGGTAAGCCCTTGGCAAGAGCCAACATTTAGTTGGCATTTGAAACCACCAGGTTCGTGATACTTCCTCATGGTTGCCCCAGGAAACTTATTACAGGCCTAATACAGAGAACACAGACAAGTTAAGAAGCCCCTGGGGTCACCTTCCTGTCTCTTAGACCCACTGGAGGGGTGCAAGGGGGGCTTCAGCAGAGAAGGGATGGAGGTGGCCCAGGCTCTGACACAGCAGAGAGAGGGGATGACTGTTCTGACCACCGTCCCGTTGGCTCAGATGGGGGAGACCAGCAACATTCATTGGTGGGGCCCAGCCGAGGCCCACCCAGATGAGGTGGGCCAGGGGCTCAGCATCCCCAGAAAGCAGAACCCACACCTGTCAGGCTTAGTACCCAGAAATTGAGTCATGAAGCACCTGCCATGTTTGCCTTAAGATCCACAGGCTTCAGCTAAAGTAGGGACACAGACAACTGAAGGAAGTTTGTCTTATTTGTTTTCAGGAGGAGGCACCCAATCACCAAAAGTGGGTTTCCCCAGGAATCCAGGCTTTACTTTTAGGATCCTTAGATTAGAACCAACCCTAGTGATAGTGAGGAAAGCCTCACACCTGATCTGATCACCAGGCAGACCTCAAGCCCTATGGTGGCAGGACCTGTGTCTGAGCAGAAGCCCCCAAAGGTTCAAACATGGAAATCATGGATTGAGTAACCTGTGGATATAGGGGGCCTCCTCACTTCAGGGTGGACCAGTGCATGTGAGTTAACTATTTATGGAGGTCTGGTTTTGCAGCTTTAAAAGTGTACAATGTTCACTCAAAGGTATTTCTGCCTTAGGTAAAGTTTGAAATATGACTTGGAAGGACATGGTTAGAAATACACCATTTTAAAAGTCATATGTAGTCTATTTAACTCAGCGGTGGCCACAGGACTGGAAAAGGTAAGCTTTCATTCCAATCCCAAAGAAGAGCAATGCCAAAGAATATTCCAATGACTGTACAATTGCACTCATTTCACATGCTAGCCAGGTCATGCTCAAAATCCTTCAAGATAAGCTTCATCACTACATGAACTGAAAACTTCCAGATGTACAAGCAGGGTTCCAAAGAGTCAGAGGAACCAGAGATAAAATTGCCAACATTCGTTGAATCATGGAGAAAGAAAGGGAGTTCCAGAAAGATATCTACTTCTGCTTTATAGACTACACTACAGTCTTTGATTGTGTGGATCACAAGAAACTGGGAAATTCTTAAAGACATGGGAGTAATAGACCACTTTACCTGTCTTTTGCAAAACCTGTATGTGGGTCAAGGAGCAACAGTTAAAACGACATGGAACAACAGATTGGTTCCGTATTGGGAAAGGAGTACAAGGCTGTAAGTTGTCACCCAGTTTATTTGACTTATATATAGAGTACATCATGCAAAATGCAGTGCTGGATGAATCACAAGCTTTAATCAAGATTGCCGGGAGAAATATCAACAACCTCAGATACACAGATGATACCACTCTAATGGCAGAAAGCAAAGAGGAACTAAAGAGCCTCTTGATGAGAGTGAAAAAGAGAGTGAAAAAGCTGGCTTAAAACTCAATATGCAAAAAACTAACATCATGGCAGCTGGCCCCATCACTTCATGGCAAATAGATAGGGAAAAAGTGGAAGCAGTGACAGATTTTATTTTCTTGGGCTCCTGGATCTCTCTAGATGGTGACTGCAGCCATGAAATAAAAAGATGCTTACTCCTTGGAAAGAAAACTTTCATAAACCTAGACAACATATTAAAAAGCAGAGACATCACCTTGCCAACAAAAGTCCATATAGTCAAAGTTATGATTTTTCCAGTAGTCATGTTTGGATATGACAGTTGGACCACAGAGAAGGCTAAGTGCTGAAGAATTGATGCTTTCAAATTGTGGTGCTAGAGAAGACTCTTGATAGTCCTTTGGACTGCAAGGAGATCAAACCAGTCAATCCTAAAAGAAATCAAGCCTGAATAGTCATTGGAAGGACTGATGCTGAAGCAGAAGCTCCAATACTTTGGCCACCTGATGGGAAGAGCTGACTCAATGGAAAAGATCCTGATGCTGGGAAAGACTGAAAGCCAAGGGAGAATGGGGCAGCAGATGGCATCACTGACTCAGTGGACAAGAATTTGAGCAGACTCCAGGAGATAGTGGAGATAGAGGAATCTGGCATACTGCAGTCCATGGGGTGGCAAAGAGTAGGTCTTAGCAACTGAACAACAACAGCAATCTATTTAAAACAAAGATACAATCCATAATAATGGCTGCTTAAAAAATATAACTGAAACAGTAAAATTAGAAACTCAGTGTATGGACTCAATAGCACAATGGAGAGTGAAAAAGAAAGAATCAGTGAACTTGAAGAGAGAGCAGTAGAAATTACCTCCATCC